GCACGTACTGAATGGAGCACTGGGTGTTATATGCAAACAATGAATCATGGAACACTACATCAAAAACTAATGATGTAATGTATGGTAATTAACATAATAAAAAAATTTGAAAAAAAAAAGACTCTCTGGATAAACAGGTTATGTAGACCTACCTACTTTCAGAGATGTTTTTCTTTTCCTTAACTTTTGTTTAATAGGTCCAAATATTTTACCTAGAATTATAAAGACTTGTTTGCACAACCCAGCATATTCTTTCTATGCTGGTAACCAATCAAAAATGAAAACAGTGAGATGTTACCTACCATATAGACAAAACATCTGGAAGAATGGTCACATTATTTTTATCCAAAAAGCCTGAATCAAGCAAAATATGCACTGTGACACTTAGTTTTAGTGTATTATTTTCAGCTTGGATAGAAACATTTTTCGAACAGAGCAGATTCCTTCAGATTGTAAATGCAATTAAGTTTCCACTTGGAATGATGTAATGTATGGTGATTAACATAACAACAACAAAAAGATGCTGCGTGAAATGTGCACCCGGATTCCACGCATTAGTTAGGGCAGAGGGTTTTGATGAAAAGGACGAAGATGTCCTTAGAAGTGATGCTGGCAAAAAGTTTCACATTAAAGGAACTCTTGGAGATAATTTGCCACCATTGAAAAGACAAAGGATAAAATGTCAGAAGCAGATCCAAACTTAGAAAGGAGCATGACAATTCACCAATGCATGGAAGGACTACTGTGCTTTTCATCACTGAGTTATACAATGTGAAGGCAGCGAGCACTGTTCCAACTCCTCTTGATTAGTTTTTAGAAAGAAATAAAACTTTAATTCTCAGTGTTTCTCATGTTTAAATTACAGTGTACCAAATAAATATTAATTTTACTACTTTTTTCACTTCTTTATATATGGTAACTGACGATAAGAGAGTTTTGAGTATTTTCATAATGTTTTAAAGGTCAGAGAATAAGCACAACCCCCACCCCCTAAAATTAATATTTTTCACAGCTTCCCCTTGCATGGTTATTTTTACTTTTCTGCACTAATGTGCAAAGTAATGACTGCATGTCCTCCTACATCAAATTCTTGGCCCCTGCTCTTTCCTCGGCCGGATGCAGTTGGACGTCAGGAAGCATGTGGCTGTTCCTTTGTGCTCTTAAACCTCTGCTCAGAGAAGGCTTTCTAGACAGCATCATCTCTTCCTCCTATTGCCTTACATTCCTTTCACACTGCCTTCTTTTTCTTCACATATTGATTTCTCTACATCTACTAGAAAATAAGCTTAAGGAGAATGGACACTTCGTCTTAGTCACTCTCCTATATTCCCAGATTCTAAAACATTACCTAGCCCACACAGGGCAATCGCAATTTTTTCTTGAATGAAGTTTTATGATGGAGTTGATAAATACATCACACCATGGCAAGCTATTACCGATATAAGTAAAAACTGCAAGATGTAGAACAATCTAATCAGCAAGATCCTGTTCTTAAGACTCAATCTACATAGAGAAAGACGTGTGGAAAGATACTTAACAAAACTGTTACCAATCAATATGATTCTGGCTAGGGAGACTGGCAAGGTGGATAGAGAACAGGATAAAGATTTTCACTTTACACTTTAAATATTTTTATATTGTCTCTCTCTTTCCCAAAATAACATTACTTGTGGAATTAAAAAGAATAAAGAAAACAGCATATATTACCTACTGTCAGGATGCCATTTTTTTTTTAAAGATTTTATTTATTTGAGAGAGAGAGCATGAGCAGGGGGAGGAGGAGAGGGGGAAAGAATCTCAAGGAGACTCCGTGCTCAGCGCAGAGTCCAATGCAGGGCTCGATCTCACGACTCTGAGGTCATGACCTGAGCCGAAACCAAGAGTCGGTCACTTAACCGACCAACTGAGCCAGCCAGGTGCCCCATGATGCCACTTTTGATAGCAATAATAACTGGGGATTATTGTGAGGCAGGCTCTGTCCTCTTTAAATGCATCATTTCATTTAAATACATAAGAATTCTATGAAGCAGATATTATAAGTATGGCTATTTCATAAATAATAATCAGAGAGGCTGAGCAATGTCCAGGTCACACAGCTAGAAAGTGGATGTAAAAAGATGCACATAGGCAAATTATCTAAGATTTGTCACATGTGTTAGGCTTTTTCCTCCCCAATAACGTGCAGCTGGAAGCAAGAGTGATAACATTTATGTGCTCACCCTGCAGGCCTAGGTGACCCGGACGTACTTCGCATAGAGCTCTCCACTCGAGGGCTAGCCACTTCAGGAGGCTGAGGAGGAATGAGGGTTTTCCGAACTGCCATTCTGAAAGAGACCAGACAAACCCAGAAAACAACAGTCCGAGGGCATTAAAGGATAGGAAGTACACAGTTGCTAGGCATACCTATGGCAAAATAAAAGCACTACATTGGCTAAGCCATTTTTTAAGTGGATTTCAAATTTTATCAAAGTAATATAGATACATTATTGAAAATGCCAAATCGCACTAAAAAGCTTTTAACAAAATACAGCAGGTCCCCACCCCAGCCCTCCCCATTTCCTGCCCATCTCTCTCCAGGAAGCAACCGCTATGACTCTTTTAGCTGATGCTTCTAGTATGCCACATCTCCTTTCTACTCATTATCAAACCTGATATCCATATTACGTGTTCATGATTATTATTATGTCTATATATGTATGTATGTATTCAAAGATTTTATTTATTTGACAGAGAAAGAGACAGAGAGAGAGGGAACACAAGCAGGGGGAGTGGGAGAGGGAGAAGCAGGCTTCCCGCTGAGCAGGGAGCCCGATGCGGGGCTCGATCCCAGGACCCTGGGATCATGACCTGAGCCGAAGCCAGACGCTCAACCAACTGAGCCACCCAGGCGCCCCTTATGTCTATGTATTTATATTGACCTGAGAAAGTTCCTGGAAGTCAAATGAGAAAAGTTGATCAAGTTAGTTAGTGTCAACTGTGCCATGCAGTAGAGGCCACATACAGCTCAGACTGAGAACCACTGGGCTCAGCAATGTGGAAGCGGTGAGTAATCGTGACGTTTAGTTTTGGCAGAGTGGTGGGAGCAAATGCTAGACAAGAGTGGGTTGAGAGAAAATGGCTAGAATCAGAATATACCATTTTGCAAAGCCTAATTAATGGATCTAGATAGTAATCATCAAATCTGCTAGCATCTCAAAAAGGGTGACCACCAAACATCATTTTAATTTATAAAGTGCTCTTGCCAAAAAAAAAAAAAAAAAGATACACGAATCTAATCAAGCTTTAGATTCAAGTAACAACTTAAGAAAAAATGTGTGGAGGAGACAAGAACAGCAAAACTTCACTACAGGGGTAGTGGGCTGAATTGTGGTCCCTAAAAAGATATACAAGTCCTAATCCCTGTATCTGTGAATGTAAAAAAAAATAGGGTCTTTGTGAAAGTAACTTAAGTTAGAGATCTCAAAGTAAGATCCTTCTAGCTTTGGTAGGCCTTAAATCCAATGACTGGTATCCTTATCACAGAAAGGAGAGGGAGATTTGAGACACAGAGACACAGAAGAACATGTGAATATGGAAGCAGAGATTGGAGTGATGTGTCCACAAGCCAAAGGTCTGTCAAGAGCCACTGGATGCTAGGAAAGAGGCATGGAATGGATTCTCGCTGGGTGCATTCAGAAGGAACCAACTCTGTTGACATCTTGATTTCAGAACTTCAAGCCATCAGAACTGTGAGAATAAATTTTTTTTTTTAAAGATTTTATCTTTAAGCAATTTCTATACCCAACATGGGGCTCGGCAGAGTCACAATCCCGAGATCAAGAGTCATACGCTCTGCCGACTAAGTCAGCCAGGCACCTCTGTGAGAATAAATTTATGTTGTTTTACGGCACCAGATTTGTGGTAATTTGTTATGGCAGCTCTAGGAAACTAATACAATGTGGATGCAGTTGAAAAAAATCCAGGGAGGGAGAGGGAAAAGTCTACAGGACAAAAGACCAAGTTTCTTCAACAAATAAATCTCAAGGAAAAAAGAGATGAAGGAAACCTACAGAAGAGTCTTAGGAGACATATCAACTGATCACAATGTGGGCACCTTATCAGAATACTGATTCAAATCAACAAAAATTTTGTGACATTTGAGGCCACTGGAAATTTGAACAATTACTAGATATTTGATGATATTACAAGGTTATTATATTTTTTAGTGAGTACCTCAATAGACACATACTCACATACTGAAATATATACAAATGAAATGATGTGCTCTCTGGAATTTGCTTCAAAATAATATGGAGAAGGGGGTGGGTAGGCATGTAGATTAAACAAAACTGGCCATGAGCTGATAAACTGATAAATGAAATTGAATGATGGGTATTCCTATGTTCAAAATTTTATTGTTTCAAGTTTTCCATAATAAAAAGTAAAAAATAAGACCAACTCCACTAACCCCCCAGAAAACAAAGAAAACAAACCTAATGAGATACACCACTACACAGCCACAGAATAACCAAACTTAAAGAATGTCAATAACAAGTGTTAGTGATTATGAATGCAATGATGATCCCCACCTGCTACTTAGAGTGTACAAGGGTATGAACACTGGAAACACTGTTGCCAGTGTCTACCAGAGCTGAACATATGTATAGCTTACAACTCAGCAAATCCCCTCCTAGGTATGCATTTACCTATGTATTAAAGGTTATACACGAAAACATTCAGAATAACATTATGGCCCCAAACTGGAAACAACCCAAAGATCTATAGATAAACTATGCTATCCTTATACAATGGTGTTTCATATAGCAATAAAAAAATTACAATCACATGCAATAAAGTGGGTGCATTACATCAAATCAAGGGAGGGAAGGTGGACTCACACAAAAACGTGTAATATATGATTCAGCAGAAGTTCAAAAAGAGGAAAAGCAAATCGACAGGGTCAAAAAAACTGGTTAGCTGCCTTTGGGAGAAGGTGTTGGTAATGTTCTTTCTCTTGACATAGATAACGGTTGCATGCTGTGTTCACTTGTGCTAATTATACCATACATGCATTACCTTTGCAGTTTTCCATATCTTTGAAAATGCTGAGAGAGAAAGAAACTGGAAGAAAAACTGGAGTTAGCAAAAACACGTAACTCCTTTATTTTCTTTGAAAATAGGAGCAAAAAAATGGGGTAGGTAGTGGAGCAAGGTGACTTAACAGAAGAGTGTTTTTTTTTTTTAAAGATTTTATTTATTTATTTGAGAGAGAGAGAATGAGAGACAGAGAGCATGAGAGGGAGGAGGGTCAGAGGGAGAAGCAGACTCCCTGCCGAGCAGGGAGCCCGATGCGGGACTCGATCCCGGGACTCCAGGATCATGACCTGAGCCGAAGGCAGTCGCTTAACCAACTGAGCCACCCAGGTGCCCCTTAACAGAAGAGTTTTAAGATGGAAGAAATAACAGCATGTTTATACCTGCTATGTGAATGATACACTAGCGAGAAAACGCTGATTAAGTAGGAGAGAGGGAGAAGCACTACAGCACTGTTCTCAGCAGGTTAGAAAGGCTGAGGTCAGCGAAGCACCGAGAGTCCATCCATAGGAACAGATGAGAGGAGTAGAGCACGGGATACAGATGCTGGCAGGTAAGGAGATGTGAAAGCTAGAGTTGATGGAAGTTCCATTTTTCTCAAAAAATAGGGAACAAAAATTCATTAGCTGGTGGCGAACACAGGTGAGGAAGTGTGGAAGTTTTGAGAGGAGCAGAGGTTAAAAGCTATCCAGGAGAGAGGCTTAGGAAGCATTCTGTGTTGGTCCCCTGTGAGATCCTAGTGGAGGTTTGTGAGGTTAAGCAAGGCCAGTCAACAAGGTTGTTTACTCCACCACAGTCTGCTGCACAAATTCAGCAGAAAGTTGGATTTGACTATTTCTGACAAAGTGAAGGGGGGGGCAAGGAAGTGGGGGCTGTATGCAAGGAAGTGATTGTAATGGACTACAGAAAGTAAGTCAGGAAGAACAGAGAAAGGCCATGAAAAGCAGTGAGGAATAACGCAAAGGTGGTAGCATCAATGGATCGAAGGTTCCCCCCCAGTGGGTCCGTTGCAATACCACTGCCCGTGAGGTAGGAAGACAGAGGTAGGCTGTGGGACAATGGAGGACAGAAGAGGTCAGGGAAAGCTTGCGCTTATGGGTGTGTGCTGCCGATAGAGGGAGGAGGACAGGGAAGCATTTAAGCAACTGAGAAGCCAGAGAGCTGGGAAATCATTTTGGACAGAATAAGCGCCAGACGTTATGGACCTTCTGAAGGACGTACAAACATATGCGCAAATCAACTGGAATCTGATCAAGCCTCTTGAGCTGCCCTGACCAACAAGGTAGCCTCTAGCCATATGGGGCTACAAAGCACTTGACTGGTGGACTAGGAGCAAAATTTTTAATGGTAGTTCATTTAAATAATTTGAATTTAAAACTGTTATCTGATTCAGTTATTAAAAAATGTTGCAGTGTGCCTGGAATAACTTGGATATGTGAAAGTACTTTTTCAACTGCAAATTTTATGAAATCTGAATATAGACTGAGTGCTTTCCAAGAGAAATGGCATGAAAGTGGCAGTGAGGCACAAAGAAGACATCAACCCCACCACCAGGCCCAGTGACAGAAGGATGGGGAGGAAAGACAGCCACTACTTTGGAGAGAGTGCGGGAGCCAAGACCCCATGGGAGAACCAGATTCTAGTTAAAGAAGGCAGGCACACAGGGGTTAGAGTCTGTGGCAAATGAGAGCAGTGTGCCCCATGGAGGAGGCAGCAGCCAGACTCTACCTCGGTGACTTCAAGCCCTCCAAGTCCACACAAAAACGAGCACCATCCAGTGGCAAATAGGCAGATTCTCTACAAGGCTCTTCCCGGAAGAAGAAATGTGAATGTGTTCCTATAGCAATGCAGACTACAGAGAGAAATCACAACCAGGACTGGGGTTGAGGGAAATGCAGGAACTTGTACATGTGATGGGGGTGTTAATTCATGGTTTGTTTTGGAAGGCACTTTGGCAGTATCTGTCAAAACTAAAAATGCACACACCCCTTGATCCAGAGTTCCCTCTTCTTGAAATTATCCTAAAAGCTACCACGAGTCCACAAGGACCGCTGGAGGATAATGTCTGTCTCAGCAACGTGTGTAAGAGTGAAAAATGGAAAACTATCCAAATGGTTTATCAGTAAGGCAGTGATTACGTACACATATGATGGTCTACCTTTGTATTTAAATATTATGCATTCTTTAAAAAGAATAATGTAGATCTATGTGTAGTGATATGAAAAGATGTCTACTTTGTATGAAGAAAAGAACTGTAAAATCACGTGTAATATTCCATTTTTCTAGAAAATGTGTATAAATACATTAAAAGAACTATGTATCACCTAAATACATTATGTATCACCAAAAAAAAAAAAAAAGGGAAAGCAGGTACACTCAAAGAAGAAGGATATTCTGATGATGACAGAGTCAGTTACGGGGGCACAGCAGAAGGGTTGTAGGGAGGTGATGAAGTGTAGGAGAAGGGGGAAGATCTTTTTACCTCCAGGGTTGTGAAATTTCAAGATGTTTATCTTGGTGTCGATTTATCTGTGTCCACAGCGTCTATTGTGCTGGGCATTTCGCAGCTCTTTAAATCAGGAAACTCATGCCCTTCAGGTTTGGAAATTTTCTATTAATTATTTTAGGTCATCTCCTTCCTTTTCTCTGATCTCTTGTTGAAACTCCTTTACTTGCAGGTGGGCCCTCCTGAACTGATTCTTTTAATTTTCTTGTCTTTTCTGTTTATCTTTTTGTTCTTTTTAACTCTACTTTTGAAAGATTTCCTCAACTGTATTTTCCTACTCTTCTACTGAGTTCAATTTCTACTCCTGTAGTTTAAATTTCAGGACACACTCTTTTGTCCTCCAAATGTTCCTTTTGCGTAGTGCTGCCTTCCTGTTTCATGGATACATCTTTTTTTGTCCTTTGAAGACAGCATTCACAGTTTTGGTCTTTATTTGCTTTTGCTTTTTGTTTTTAGTTTTACTCTCATTGCTTAGCTTCTGTATCTTCCAGGCTGTGTTTTTCAGTACGTCTCATGGTTTGTATCTTGCATTGTTAGAAGGCCCCTCAGATACCTGGTTATCCCTGGTTGCGTGTTCATGATGAGGACTGGGGGACTAACGCTGGTTAGAACCTCTGAACTTGAAGAACTTGCCTATTTTTTTTTTTTTAGAGTGGCAGTGAAAGAGAGAGAGAGGAGCGGGGGAGGGGCAGAGAGGGAAGGGGAGAGAGTAAGACTCCACACCCAGCATGGAGCCTGATGTGGGGTTCGATCTCACAACCCTGAGATCATGGCCTTAGCCAAAATCAAGAGTCGGATGCTTAACTGACTGAGCCACCCAGGCGCCCCAGACATTGCCTACTTTAAGTTTCACTGTAGGGTGATCTGGTTCCTGACCTTACGAAATCCCTAGTGTTGGTATCTTTGCATCTTTCCTCCTGGGCTGGATGATCCTTGAAAGAAAGTGGAGTCCTCATCTCACTTTTTGTCTACAGCATTCAACTGCCAGGGTCCTGCCAGCTAAAAGGGAGAAGTGGACTGGTTGTCTCAGCACTCTGCAAATCTGTGTCTGGTAAAATACTCCTGGCCCCCCTTATGCTGACTGATCCCAGTGGACCAGCTGCAGAATTTAGCCCTCTGGGTACATGCTGGGGTTGGGAGGAGCAGTGTACGACAAACTGTGGGTAGCGAAGGGGATGCAGGGCTCTAACCTTCTCAAACACATTTCAGCCCAGCTTCCTTCCACCCCTTGTTCTTCCTGTTCCTGTTCCTTCTGAAGCTTCAGCAATTTAAATGAACATGCTTCTCAACATTCTCTACAGACTTAAAATTCAGCTTTCTCACAGTTAAGTGAGTGATCACTCACCTACCTGCTTTCCAGCTTCAAAGTTTGGTTGCTGTTGTCTTCTCCTATTCTCCCCATCCTTGTGTGTTTACATCTTTTTAAAAAGCCTCTTTGCTAGGGGCGCCTGGGTGGCTCAGTTGGTTGAGCAACTGCCTTCGGCTCAGGTCATGATCCTGGAGTCCTGGGATCGAGTCCCGCATCGGGCTCCCTGCTCAGCGGGGAGTCTGCTTCTCCCTCTGACCCTACCCCCTCTCATGTGCTCTCTCTCTCCTCTCATCTTCTCTCTCAAATAAATAAAATCTTTAAAAAAAAAAAAAAAGCCTCTTTGCTAAAAGTTCTATAGGGTTTTGAGGGGAAAAGAAATTTAGAAGTGTGTGTTCAGCCTGCCATGTTAAGCATGAGCTTTGTCTTGCATTTTCATTGATAAGGTTCCTTTACCACAGACTGACTTATCTTTAAAAGAGGCTCTGATTGAGGCAAAGTCCTACACATCTGGAAACCCCGTACGGACCCAGCAGCTTATGTTCTCGCTATGCTTTAACCTTTATGATCTTCTGCTGTTGAAGCACATGAGCTCGGTGGAGCCAAAGAAATGCTGCTCTCTGAAGTGTGACTGCCCATCTTCCACCTCCCAAGTTTTCAAGTGAAGTTTCAGGGCACAGCACATACCTTCCTGCCCATGACCCACACCAACTCAGAGGTCCTATGACGACACAGTACACTTGTGCTACTAAATATGACCCTTACTTAATACACCTGGGATATTATTTGCCCTGAGCAACAATTCATGCTGGCCAATAAGGAAAAAAAATACATAGTACACATTAATGTGCCTACCCAGACAAACCTGAGGGGTCTATTAGAAGCTACTCAGAGAGTCTAGAATTAAACTCCCATAAACTAGAGAGAACTCCTAAAATAGTATGCAACGGCTGCTTCTAAAACTGACCCCCCCCGCCATGACTCATGGATTCTTACTGTCCTAGAGTCTTTGCTTGGCAAGGCTCTACTGAATGAGCCTGTGGTCAAGTTATTTTGAAAGATTAAAAAATGCTACAGAAGATGAGAGCTTACAGTCTGCTACCAGCACTGGATGAGCGCCTACTGTTTCTACTAATTATATCCAGAATTAGAGGTGTCGTGTGGCACTACTGGGTCTACCTACCCATCCGTGGCGGGTTTCTTCCGGAGGATACTTGGCCGGGGGGATGAGCCCTGGGCTGGAGCGTTGGTGCTAGCACTCTGGCTGTGGGTCTGCACCACTGTTGTTGCTGCGGGAGCAGCGCTGAATGGATTGCTAATAGGGTTGGCCACAATTGTGGCTCCGTCTGCCAACACCACTGCTGGAGGACAGGGAGGGGGCAGGAGAAAACAACGAAGAAAAGGAAACAAAAGAAACATTACTAAAATATCACATAAGACAAAAAACAATTAGACCTCCAGAATTAGAGTACCCATGCTCTGACTGTCCAATTTCAAGAAAGTAAGGAATGAGCACAATGTTCATCTGTCTCAAAGCAGATGGCAAAGTGGAAGAGGTTACTGAGTCTACTGATGCACATTTTTCTTTGCTGTATAATCATAACTACTAATAAATCACATAAGATAAAGTATGTAGCATACTTCAAGAAATAATCTCCTACAATTTTTGTGAAATGCCATTGCCTCTCAATCCCTAAAAATGATACCAACAATCCCTAAATATGATACATTAATTTTACAGCTTTACATACAAGTCGGAAGAAAATCTTAAACAGAATCAGAACACTCTAATAAAGGTGAATTTGCTCTCTCAACTTTACAGAGTGCTTCTTACCACATGCAAATGCACATTAGGCTGTTGATGTACATAATTTCTAATGTTTACAATGACTCTGACAGATAAATTCTATGCAACTCATGTTAAAAGAAGAAACTAAGAGAAATTACTCAAGACCACCAAGCCTGTAAGTGACAGAACCAGGATTTAAACCTAGTATATCTCTATCCTCTACATCAACTTCCATGCAAAAAACTCAAATTACCTGAAGTCTTTCCTTCAGGCTGAGGCTGCTGAGTACCCATTGGTGCAGGCTGAAGTCCCTGTGTGCTGACTGGGGTTGCTGAGTGGATTCCCTGTGTGCCCATTGGTGCTGGCTGTATTCCTGGAGTCCCAATGGGGGCTGGCTGTATCCCCTGTGTACTGATGGGTGCTGGCTGGATCCCTTGGATATGTCGAGCATGAGAAGTATCCACTGTCATCAACTGCATGGGGTTTAGGTGGACTGTGGAAGCCACCCCAACGCCAGTTTGAGCTGTGATGGCAGAATTTGGAGCCTGAGCAGAAACTGAAAATGATGCAGAAAGTGACTACAAGAATGTTAGCTCTGATTAGACATAGTCCACGTAAAGAGAAAAAACACTAAAACGAAAATAGAATATTCCACTGTAAAAGACCTAAACCCTCAGTTTTTATGGGTGGTTTTTTTTTTTTTGAGAGGGAAAGAGAGAATCCCAAGCAGACTCCACACCCAGCTAGGAGTCCGACATAGGGCCTGATCCCACGACCCTAAGATCATGACCTGAGCTGGAATCAAGAGTCGGATGCTCAGCTGACTGAGCCACCCAGGCACCCCAGTCTTTTTTTTTTTTTTTTAAAGATTTACTTATTGGGGTGCCTGGGTGGCTCAGTCATTAAACGTCTGCCTTCAGCTCAGGTCATGATCCCAGGGTCCTAGGATTGAGCCCCACATCAGGCTCCCTGCTCAGCAGGAAGCCTGCTTCTCCCTCTGCCCCTGCTTGTGTTCCTTCTCTCGCTGTCTCTCTGTCAAATCAATAAATAAAATCTTAAAAAAATAATAATAAATATTTACTTATTTATCTAAGAGAGTGAGCGCATGAGCACAAGTGGGAGGGGCAGAGGGAGAAGGAGAGAGAATCTCAAGCAGACTCTGAGCTTGGTGCAATGCCCGAGATGGGGCTCGATCTCAAGACCCTGAGATCACGACCTGAACCAAGGAAACCAAGAGTCGGAGGCTTAACCAACTGGTTAACTCTGGTGCCCCCAGAGGTAGCCTCTTTAGCTCCAGTTTTTTCATATGCATTCCAGCCAGTTGGAAGGACTATGGGGAGGAGGAAGAGAGGCCTACATTTTATAAGGACATACATTTATGATACTCTGGTGGCCATAATTTATATGGCCACCCTTAGTTATCAGAGAAGCCCCATTTCACCATTTTCTATTTACTATTTCCTGTATCCTATTTAATTTTGGTATTTTCTATTATGTATTGTCCAGCATTATGGGTCAAATTTTTAGCTCCTTTATGCTTAATCTTTATAAATTGTTAATAAAATTATTGATGTCTATAAATGTTCCTTGAAAATCACTTAGGTACATCTCACAAGTTTGACATATTATACACCAAGTGTTGCTCAATTCTATACATTTTATAAAATTCATGTGTGAATTCCACTTCAAACCATCAACTAGAGAGTATGTTTTTTAATTTCTATATGGTTTAAGAATACATTTTTAAAAATTTTTTATTGTTATGTTAATCATCATACATTACATCATTAGTTTTTGATGCAGTGTTCCATGATTCATTGTTTGTGCATAACACCAAATGCTCCATGCAGAACGTGCCCTCTTTAATACCCATCACCAGGCTAACCCATCCTCCCA